TTCCCCCTGCGGAACTAAAAAAGTAGAAACCGCATCTCCATCCAGTACCTTTGTAGCCTGCAATGTTCCTGAAACTATTCTGGCTTCTGTGGCTTTCAGAGCTGAAATCAAAGAGTCAATGGGTTGTAAACTCTGTTCCTTGACATGACTCTGAGAGGGGACCTCTCTGACATCTTTTGGTCCTCCGGTAACACTGAGAAGCCCAGAGGGATGGCCAGCAAGAGACTGGACCCTCTGCTGCACCTGAGGGCAGCACGGCAGAGACTCGGCATCAAACTCGAGAGAGGCTCTTAGGCCTTCTCCACTTTCCTCCATGGTCCCATATTCTGGAAATTCATTTGTGACATTCGTGGGGAGTAAAGTGCTTCCTCCATGATCACCTACAAAGAGAACAGAATGGACACATGACTTGTTCTGAACAACAGATTCCAATGTGTGTTAATAAATCTCCATACGCATTAGGCATTCAGTAATCCTTATGTGATCCTTTCACCGTCTCCTGCCCCCACCTCTGCAACACTTGCTTCTCATAACCCTGCCGGTGGTCCCTTCCACTTAGCTTACACAAGAGTACCCACAAAGGTTTTGGCACAGACAGAGACAATCTAATGACACACGCCCTATTCAACCCTGCTTCTGATGAAGTCCCACACATGCAACTCGGTTGCTGCATATGCAAGAACAGATGAAAATAAGGATATGTATCATTTTCCAAATACCACTCATGAAATAGCAACTAAAGTATTTATATTGGGCACAACAACAAATAGTCTTACGATCCAGCCAACAATATCTGTGCAGTGCAATCTCTGAGATGGAAGCCTCAGAAAAAAGATACGATCTATTTAAAGTCAGTAAATATTTTTTTGGCTGGAAGCTTCCCCTTCACTGTTGGATTTCTGTTGCGGGTGCGGGGGGGAATGCTTTCAGAACATCCCTGGGGAATGAGACTGAAGTCAAAATGGAATAGGAAACTTAATATGTTAAGAAAGATCTCTGGGATCCCAACTGAATAAAATTTAAATGGTATCATATGCAGAACCCCAATATATGAAGCAGTAAAAACAATTAGCATATATTTACTACATAGGATCAAATTTACATCCTTTTCTTATTAAAATGGAAGTCAATGAGAAAAATGAAGACATTCTGATAACAGAATTTTAAATTGAGGATTTATGGATAACAGTTACAGTCCTATCACCCCAGGATCCAATCTCCTTCTGAACTTGGTTTTGGTTACTTTGTATCGAGAATATCCTCATCTACCCGGGGAAATGTAGGGTCCTCACTTGGACAACTTTATGACAGAGGACACCTGTTGTTTTTGTTATTGCTTTTAAAGCATTGCCAGCTACCACCTTCCTATTCAGTGAAATGTTTGATGACTGTCTGAATATATACAATGAAATGACATGAAAGACTTGATTCCAAGGCATGTACAAAATGAGGTAACTTGGAAACATAAGTTAATGTATAGTATCCCACAATGTGGAAAATCTGATAAATAATAATACATCTAAGAGTGTATTCAGTTTCATATTTCATTTTTGAAATAATTTGAAATATATTTTTAAATTAAATTTGAATCAGTATTGATGGAATCCAAGAAGCACTTCTCTGTGACTGTAGTATTGATAGTACCTTCACAAGACAGAAGTAAGAGGATGTGGCTTGCTTGAAATCTGAGGAGGAAGCAACTTTCAAACCCTGATTTTGAAAAGGAAGACAGTTAAAAGCAATAAAGATTCCTCTTTCTGTGGCACACTGACATTTTAAATTTTTCAATAAAGACTGTGATAGGACTTTTAAGATTCAGTTGTCTTTAATATATTCACAAAATTGTGTGACCATCACCACAACCTAATTCCAGAACATTTTCATCACCTCCTACCACCACCAAAAAACCTATATCCAATCCATTAGCCACCATTCCTCAGCCCCTGGTAACTACCAACCTACATTCTGTCTCTATGGATTCACGTGTTCTACTTCATATCAACAGAATCACACAATATGTGGCATTTTTTGTATTTTTTCCACCTAGCACAATGCTTTCAAGGTTTATCCACACTGTACCATGCATCAGAACTTCTTTTCTTTTTATTGACAAATAATATTCCATTGTATGGATATACCACAGTTTCTTTCCATTCATCTGCTGATGGACATTTGTGTTATTTCCACATTTTAGCTATTATAAATAATGAACATTTGTGTACAAGTTTTTGTGTCTACTTTTATTTTCAGTTCTCTTGGGTATATTTCTATGAGTGGATTCTGGGTCACATGGTAACTCTCTCTCTTTAATGTTTGGAGAAACTGCCAGTTTTCCAAAGCAACTAAACCATTTTACATTCCTACCAGCAAAGTCTGAGGGTTCTAGTACTGCCCATATTTTTTATTATAGCTGTCTTAGTAGATGTGAAATGCTATCTCACTGTGGTTCTGATTTTGCTCAATATCATTAATCACTGTGGCACTGATTAATGATATTGAGCATCTTGTCACATGCTTGTTGGCCATTTGTATGTCTTCTTCAGAGACATATCCATTCAAATCCTTTGCCCATTTTATAGTTGGGTTACTTGTCTTTTTATTATTGATTTGTAAGAGTCCTTTGTATATTCTGGACAGAAGTTCCTTATCATATATATACTTTGCAAACATTTTCTCCCATTCTGTGGGTTGTCTCTTCCCTTAGTTGATGGTGTTTTGTTTTTCTGGTTTTTTTTTTTTTTTTTTGCAGTACGCGGGTCTCTCACTGTTGTGGCCTCTCCCATTGCGGAGCACAGGCTCCGGACGCGCAGGCTCAGCGGCCATGGCTCACGGCCCAGCCACTCTATGGCATGTGTGATCTTCCCGGACAGGGGCACGAACCCGTGTCCCCTGCATCAGCAGGCGGACTCTCAACCACTGTGCCACCAGGGAAGCCCGATGGTGTTTTTTTTGAAGCACAATTTTTAAAAATTTTAATAAAATCCAACTTATCTATTTTTTTATTTTGTTGCTTGTGTCTTTGGTGTCATATGCAACAAATTATTGTCTAATCCAAGGTCACAAAGATTTATTCCTTTTTTTTTTAAGAGTTTTACAGTGTTTGCTATTACATGTAGACCTTTGATCCATTTTGAATTAACTCTTGTACATGGGGTAAAGTGGAGCTCCAACGTCATTCTGTTGCATGTGGATATCCACTGTCCCAGCACTACTGTTGAAAAAAACTATTATTTCCCCCACTGAACTGCATTAATACCTTCATAGAAAATCAACTGACCATAAACGTAAAGGTTTATGCCTGTACTCTAAATTCTATTCCTTTGAGCTAGCAGCAAGTATAACACCATCTTGATTACTGTAGCTTTGTAGAAGTAAAATCAGGAAGTGTGAGTCCTCCTACTTTGTCCTTCCTTTTCCAGGTTGTTTTGGCTACTCTGGGACCCTGGCATTTTCCATATGAATTTTAGGATCAGCTTGCCAGACAGCTGAAATGTTCATAGAGGCTGGGATGAATCTGTAGAGCACTGCATCCTAACAATAGTACTATTAAGTCTTTTGATCCATGACTGTAGGATGCCTTTCCATTTATTTAATTTTCTTTAATTTCTTTTAACATGTTTTTGTTTTAACTGTACAAGTTTTACATTACTTTTGTTAAACTTACTCCCCTAAGTATTTTCTTTTTGATACTATAATACTCAGAAATTTTTTTCATTTTCAGATTATTCACTGCTAGCATATAGGAATACAACTGGTTGCTGAACTTACTATTTAGTTCTAATAGCTTTTCTGTGGATTCCTTAGGATTTCCTATATATAAGATCATGTTGTCTGTGAACAGAGATAATTTTACTTTTTTTCTTTCTTATTTGGATGTCTTTTATTTCTTTTTCTTGCCTAACTGCACTGGCCAGACCCTCTAGTACACTATTGACTAGAAGTGGTAAGAGCTAGACATCCTTGTCTTGTTCTGGATCTTAAGAGAAAGCTTTCAGTCTTTTACCATTAAGTATGATGTTAGCTGTGGGTTTTTCACAAACGCCCTATATATCAGGGTAAGGAAGATCCCTTCTACTCCCAGTTTGTCAAGTGTTTCTATCATGAAAGGGTGCCAAGTTTTGTCAAATGTTTTTTCTCTGTCAATTGAGATTTCCATGTGGGTTTTGTCTTTTAATCTAGTAAGAGTGCATTACATTAACTGACTTTTATACACTGAACCAACCTTGCATTCCTGGAATAAATACCACTTGGTCATGGTGCATAATCCTTTTTTAAAAGTTGCTAGATTCAGCTTTTTAGTATTTTTGCACCTATATTTATAAACAATATTGGTCTGTAGTTGTCTTGTGCTATCTCTGGTTTGGGTAGTAATGTGGGCTTAACAAAACGAATTGGGAAATATTCTATATTGGCATTTATTTACACCTTTTTATACTTTTTTAAAAAACATTTTTCATATTTTACACTTTTTAGGCTTTTAACAGTTTTCTCTTCCTTAATAATTCAGAGGACTTAATTTTCTCCATAGTTTAAAAGCTATAAATTTATTGTTAAAATGCAATGAAAGAAAAAAGTATACAATCCAAAAGCATGGGCTTTTTTCTTTAACTTAGTAAAATAGCTTAAAATTGTTAGAGAAGTACTTAGGTCACAGTGGGAAATATTTCCTATAGATGTTATAATGCTTTTATTGAAGTTAGAGTATGCCTTTACAAAAACATGAGGATCATAGAATATAAAACTGCAAAAGTCAAAGGAATCAAAGAATTAATTTGGCTACCTAACATAATTAGCAAGAAAACAGGCTCAAAGGAATGATGTACTTGCCAACATGATACAACAAATAAAAACCAGAGCTTATCTATTCTACCTCTACTAAGCTTTACATCCCTCCCCTGCCCTCCATCTTTATTGGTAGTGAGATACCCTAGTATGTGTCTTCCATTTTTTCCCTGAAATTTAAAAAATCTTCTGAGGGCTTCCCTGGTGGCACAGTGGTTAAGGGTCCGCCTGCTGATGCAGGGGACACGGGTTCATGCCCCAGTCCGGGAAGATCCCACATGCCACGGAGCTGCTGGGCCCGTGAGCCATGGCCACTGAGCTTGCGCGTCCGGAGCCTGTGGTCCGCAACGGGAGAGATCACGACAGTGAGAGGCCCGCGCACCGCCAAAAAAAAAAAAAAAAAGATAAGAAATAAAAAGTGTTGGTAAGGATGTGAAGAAAAGAGAACCCTAGTACACTGTTGATGGAACGTAAATTAGTGCAACCTCCAGCGTGTGGAGGTTCCTCAAAAAATTAAAAATGGAACTACCATATGATACAGCAATTCCACTTACGGGTATTTACCTGAAGAAAACAAAAACACTAATTAGAAAAGATA